AGAGAGAGAAGAGAGAGAGAGAGAGAGAGAGAGAGAGAGAGAGAGAGGGAGAGAGAGAGAGAGAGAGAGAGAGAGAGTCTTGTAAGATATTCACAATCATTACTAATCAAGACACACAACCATACATCATCAAACCAGGGCCTATGGGCGATCTCTAACGGATCAAGGCCGAGTTAAGGCATAATCTCCAGGAACGAAGTGTATTCTAGAATTCTTTGTTTGAATATTTCATCCTTTTAGTATTTATGCTCGGGAGACTTATGTACATCCCAAAATTTTATCTTGGATGGGATGTATTTCTCAATGTTAGTCGAGATAGTGAAACTGAAGAAACATGAATGATCTTAATCAATAAAAGAAATGCATAAATTTCTCTCTCTCATTCTCTTGAAGTGTCTTAAATAATATATAGAGAATTCTCCCTTAAAATCTATAAATAGGGAGAGCTTGTAATTTGTAACTAACCTAGTAACAAGCAAGTAAAATCAACAAAATAAACTTGTAAAATATCCTCAAAATATCATTCTATCAAAAAATGTTCTTTTATCAATGATCACATGCGGAAAAAAAATTAGTTTGGATGTTCGGTTTTATATTGGTTAGATATTTCTCAAAGTGTATTGTTTGTTGTAGCAAGCTTTTATTTATTTGGCTATTTGTATGCCTCAACACAAATGGACAAATCTTATTTATAATGTTTTAATGATTTGAATATTAAATCTCCTCAAATCCCTTCAGATATCTCATTCATCAAGGTTATATGCACGAAAGAATACATAAATTACCATATATGGTATTAAAACAATACAAATTATTGTCCTCCACTTTAAATTGCCAATATGCAAATATCTCCTTTCTGTGCTGTTGTGAAGTTCAATATGTATGCATACATCATATTTTCGAAATCCAACTCAGGAAATCATGTCAATGTCTCGTAACTGATAGTTTAAAACAAAACAAAAATCCACACCCTTTACACTCAAACTTTACAACAAAATGGTATAACAGAAGAACTGGGTAGAGCAACATCATGACCACACAAAACACAACCAAACAAAACAAAATGGTGCAACCATGTTCCCAGGATCAGGAAAAGATGAAGTATAGAAATTTGTATAAAAACACGAGAAATAATACAATAAGGATTTGATCGTTTAAGGATATTATCTTGTCAAAATTGTTTAATATTTGATTTAGATTTTTTGAAGAGGCCAAACATGTAAGCTCTACGGAGAAAGATGCATTGCTACTATGGAAACTCGGCATGAAAATCATTTCCCCAGGAACACATTTGAATACACCGTTGCTCCACTCCTACATTCATAAAGTAAATTCTTGGTTAGCATTTGTCAAACTCTAATACATTGTATTCCAGGTTCATCAGTAAATGTTAACATGAGTAGTGCTAATAGTATTCTTTAATGCTCTTTTTACCTCTCATTTGTTAGTGTACAAGGTTAATAAATAAAGAAAAGATAACAGAGAATATGTTTATTGCAATGACGGCTATAAAACTTTCAAAAGAAATAATATAAATGATTGCTATTATTAGTCTATTTATATAAAAGTAAATTATTACGTATGCCCTAATAAAAGTAAACTTAATGATTAAGTTAAAAGGTACAAACTAGGAAATACTAAATGTAACATCTACACTAACAAACTCAGAACCCAGAAGCTAAGCATTTTTCTGGGTGTAACCTCAGAAGCTTCTGCTTTTGGTTAATAACAACTTCTGATTACATCAAACTACTGTTTCTAATTAAGCAGTCTCAAAAGCTTACAACTTCTGGCTAACAACCTCATAAACTCTACTGCTTCTGAATAACAACATCTTCTGAATATGAATTACTTTCAATACCATCCCTTAATTCATATTAAGCTAACCAAAACTCTTCAACACCAATTTCATCCCTCAAACGGATAAAGTGTTCAGTCTTGGCATCCTTCGTCAGAACATCTGCAAGTTGCTTCTGGTTGCTACAGTGTGCAACTTTTAATACTCCATTTAGAAATGCAGATTTCATCTTGAAGACCCATCTGACGCTGATGTTTTTCTTCTCCTTCGGAAGCTCAGTTAACTCCTAAGTCTTGTTTCTTTCAATAGCATCAAGCTCTTTTTTCATGGCCTTCAACCACACTTTCTTCTTGAGAGCTTCGCGGATTGACAACGCAACCACCAATTGCTTCTTGGAGCACCAAGAAATAGGACTTTCCAGATACAAACAAAAGTATCCAGAAGTATTTCTTCTATTAACTCTATCTCCATACAAATCAGAGTTTGAATAGAATATCAACTCTACATCTGATCTAACATCATAAGGGAACAACACTTCATATCTCAGAGTCCCTTCAGTATCTTACTTGTTACATATGGTATTTCTGAAGGTAGTGGTTCTGGACGAGGTTCAGAAGTTAACAAAGGTAGAGCTTTTGGTGATAGTCAATCTTTTTAAGAAAATCCAGAAGGAGATACAGTTTCAGAATCAGAAGGAGATTCTGAACAATTTCAGAGGCCACAACGAATCAGAAAAATACCAAGGAGATTTACAATTTCAGAGGCCACACACTGATGGATGAAGAACAATGTCTTCTGATATTTCTTCCTTGTATCTCTCTGCACATTTCTATGTTCTTTCGTGGCATCTTCTGCAATTGGAACATAACCATATGTAACAAGCTCAAGATCATCCTGAGCGCCAAACACCACACGCATTTGAATCATCCAACGGTTTCAGTTTTTGGCATTAAATATTGGAAGCTTGGTGCTTAGACTACCATTTCCGGTCATCTTCAACCTTGTACAACTCACTCATATCTCACAAGCACAGTGTTTTCTAACCCCACAGAATCAGAAAAAAATGTGATTCTATTTAGATTTTGTTCAAGATTCAACACGGACCCCAGAACCAAAATCAACGACACAAACGCCTAACGTTTCACTCGTGTTTCCCTGTATTTCCCTATGAATCAGAACCAGGGCTTTGATACCAATTGTTAGTGCACAAGGTTAATAAATGAATAAAAGGTAAGAGAGAATGTATTTACAGCAATGACGGCTATAAATCTTACAAAATGAATGATACAAATGATTGCTTCTACTAGTTTATTTATACAAAAGTAAATTGTCACGTAGGCCCTAATAAAAGTAAATTTAATGACTAAGTTAAAAGATACAAAGTAGGAAACACTAAACTTAACAGCTACGCTAACAAACTCAGAACCCAGAACCCCAGAAGCTAAGCATACTTTTGGGCGTAACCTCATAAGCTTCTGCTTCTGATTAATAATAACTTCTAATTACATCAAACTACTTGTTTCCAGTGATTTCTGGTAAACAACCGCTAGTCTTCCAAACTATCGAATAATCTTTCTTACTGTTATTCAATCCCTCTGGTAACTCACAGGATCGACTAGATTGATCCTAGGACTCCTTGGATATTAAGGTTACTCTCACAATCAAACATATATTCATAGTTGATATTGTATAAGTGTTTGGCTTATTTCGATCTCTCTCTCTAAGAGTCTAAAGATGTAATCAAAATGTGTATGAAAACTAAGTTATACGAATAAATGCTAATTGTAATGCTAATTGTAAAGACATATAAAACTGCATGAGAATGAAGTAAATGGTTTCGATTTACAAAACGGTTAACATAAAGGGTTTCTGGAACATAAAAGTTTGAAATGAGGAGAAAACGTTTAACGCAAGAAATCTGTAAATGATTTTAAGTAAAAGTATGCGTTCGAATGACAAGACTTGAATGTAAAGGTATGGAAAATGTGACAGTTTTCTGAAATATAAAATGCTCGAAACATAAAGAAAATAATAAAATGTAAAACTTTGAGGAAGAGACTTCGAAGTGAAAAGACTGTAAATAAGAAAACTTGTAAATGTTGTTTGACAAAAGGAATAAAAGAAGTACTGGAAATGGTAAAAAGGTTTTCACTAAATCAGAAATACATGGTGCTATCATACATACATTTCTCTTGCATTCGTTTCCCTTGCCATGTGGTAGTTTGAATGTTATTGAGTATTTTGTATAACAGATATGACACACGAAATCCTAATACTAAGACTCCTATTTATACTAATCCGACCCTAACGATCTCGCCATAGGATTATGCCACGTTTCGAACATGCAGGACAATGCTTCTTTCATCCTTCCACGTGTCCCCAAATACTCCAACACATAACTTTCAAACTTTGAAAGTCCCGCTCCCATTTGAATTTAAAATGCTTTGGTGTTTCTCCGTTTCGAACGCTTTTCCCAAACATAGCCTCGCTGTTGTTTCGAGACTCCTTTAGATATGTTCCCATAATTGCCGCTCGAAGCTTCAAGCTTTGACACACTTATTCGAAACACTGCTTCTGCAACTTCGAAATATGGCGTTTAATTCCATTTCGATCAGAACGTTTAACTCTTTTGGCTTCTAAATAACATTATCAAAATCTTCAGCCAACAAATTGCCCCTTTAAAATATGTATTTTGATTCCTTTGAGAAATACCTATTTTAAACATTTACACAAGATTTTGATAGGACTTTCGAATCATCGTAACATTTAATGCATTTGACTCCAGTCACATCAATCATAGCACCTTTTGGATTCCTTAACCGCCCGGAGTCACTTCACAGCGTGGTGCAGTTATAAGTAATGATTATCTTTTAAATCGCGCCTATTACCTATATTAACTTCACGCCACCTCTTCATCACACCAATCCATGATCTCCACGTATCACACCTCTATTCGGTGGATGTTTAAACTTCCCCATTATAAAACATCAACTTAATCTTCTTCTTTTCTTTTCACACTCTAAATCTTTCATACTCTGAATTTTTACCCTCCTTCTCTCATAAAACAATCTAAGCTTTCAAACATCTTCCAAAATGTCTTCTTCTACTTCATCCCAACTCAAGAAAGTCTCCAAGAAGAAAGGAAAAACTACAGGAGCTACCATGGAAAGTAAAATCATCACTATTCAAGGCCAATCTGCTCTTGCTCCTCAGATGATTTCCAAAGAAAAAGAAATGCTGTACGCGTCACAGGTACTCATTCCTACCCACGTTGCTGGTAAGAGGTTAGCCTTAAATGGCCCTCTTACGGTTTTTGAAATATTAAAGGACACCAGGACAATTTTTCCCGTCTGTTATAGCTTCAAACTCTTATTCAACAAAATGGATGCCCCTAGGGCAGTAGAATCTCCTAGTTCAAATACCATAGAAACCCCAACTGTTCTTCCCAAGGACCCCTTTGTTTTGGATTATGTAAAAAGCAATTTTAAGCCATTTCGATCTTGCCCTACTTCTGATATTGCTTATCAAAATTGGTTCACAAAAGTAGAAGCCAAGAAATCCCAGCAATGGGAAGAATTAGGCATTTCTAACCTGATTAAGCTATCGAAACCTGGATTCACCTACAGCCATCCTCTGCTATTCGCGTCCCTTTATTTCTGGGACAGTACCTACAACACTTTCCATCTCCCAGGTGGAATGATCACCCCAACCTTCTTCGATATAGCGGCCATTACTGGGCTGTCGCCAGTGGGAGAAACTTATGTTCCTGACAACGAAGAGCACTCAAGCATAATTGACTTCGAAGTCAAGTTAGCCAGCTTTTCCAAATTTATCAGTCATTATCATGCTGAAGGGGACAATGTGTCTGACGTAGAGCACATTGCTTTTTTAACCCTGTGGCTGTCTAGATACGTTTTCTGCAGTAGATCCCTGCAGGTAGCTAGTAGGTTCATTCCTCTAGCTAGGGATTTACATGAAAATTGAAAAGTGTGCCTAAGTGAATTACTCTTAGTTGACCTCTATGAGAGCCTGAGGTCAGCTGTTTCGAGCCTCAAATCCCACACCTCCAAAAACATTTTATTGGCTGGCCCATTTTGGTTACTCCAACTATGGCTAAATGCCATGTTCGAACCTTCCTTATCAACCGCCAATACCATTGATGAGCAAGATTCTGAGATAAGTGATAGGATAGTCGAAGGCACTAGGCTTCGCAGACTAACTCCTAATGATGACAAAGATGACTTCAAAGTTCAATTCTCGAAGTACATCATGATATTCTCCAAAAGGCACAAGTTCGAAGAGAGCATGGCGCCTTTTGCTTCGAGGGCTCATGGACCTTCTTGGTTCACCATGGCTCTCTCAGAAGCCATCAAGAGCAAGGAGATTCAGGATGTATGGAGAGCTTTCTTGCTGCCTAGACTCATCTCTTCAAGGATAACCCCAACCAAGAACCAAATTCTTCTCTTTGCCTACCAACCAAACTTCGTTTCGAGGCAGTTTGGCTTATGCCAACTGA